AATCTCACATTCAGTTACAGCTACTTAGTGTTTATCATTTCCTCAATATTAAACACTGATATTGCATAACCGAGTAATATTTATTTTATTCCTTTCCTCATATTATTTTTATCCTCATAAATCACTGCAATTAACTTTACATATGCATCATGAGAAATACATTTCATTGAGCAACCTGTTTATGCAAGTTTCTTTGTGTACAACTATTTCCTGTACAGACTCCACAGATTGTTTATAGAAGTATGACTACCACCTTCCTTCTAGTATAATAGCTCTTTATCTGTAACCTCAACGAACACACAGTTGTGATGTAAGTTAGTCACTGATGAGTCATGAATACATCTCCTACGAATTACACCATAGAAGGAATCCAGAGGGAAAAAGAGGCTGCATTTTTTTAAAAAAGGGTATAAAGCTAAATGAAACAAGCTATTCAGAGAAAGACAGATGCCATACGATTTCCGTCATATGTTGAATTTAAGAAACAAAACAAATGAACAAAGGAAAAAAAGACAAAAAAAAAAACCCCCCACAAAAATCCCAGACTCTTAACTATAGAAAAAGAGGGTGGGTGGGTGGGGGAATGGGTGAAATAGGTGATGGGGATTACGGTTATGATGAGCATTGAGTGATATATAGAATTGCTAAATCACTATACAAATATACATATATGAATACCTGAAATATATATGTATAATTAAAAATTTTATTTTAATCTTTTTTTTTTAAAGATTTTTATTTATTTGACAGAGATCACAAGTAGGCAGAGAGGCAGGCAGAGAGAGAGGAAGGGAAGCGGGCTTCCCGCTGAGCAGAGAGGCAGAATCGGGGCTCGGTCCCGGGACTCCGGGATCATGACCTGAGCTGAAGGCAGAGGCTTTAACCCACTGAGCCACCCAGGTTCCCCCTAATTAAAAAATTTAAAAACCATTTAATTATACACACAGTGGGTAAATTTTATGCATGTAAATTCTCAATGGTTTTTAAAAGTCGATAAATGAAGAAGAGCTAAAAATGATACTCGAAATTTTCTCCTACACAAAATATCATTTACAAAAATCTTGGATCAGGGTGCCTGGGTGGCTCATTTGGTTGGACATCTGTCTTTGGCTCCGGTCATGATCCCTGGGTCCTGGCATCGAGCCCCACATCAGGCTCCCTGGTCAGTGGGGGTGCCTGCTTCCCCCTCTCCCTCTGCCTGCTGCTCCCCCTGCTTGTGCTCTCTCTCTCAAATAAAAAAAGTCTTTATTAAAAAATCTAGAATCTTTTATTTTTGCCATAGGACACTATCTATAATGGTTTCTTTCCTGTAATGGTTAAGAGAATAGACTTAGAGTTAGGACTCTAGGATTTGAATTCCAGCTCTGCCATTCACAGCTGTGTAATCTTGTATGAGTTATTTATCCTCTTTTTTTGTTTGTTTGTTTTTATCTATCCTCAGTTATAAAATGGAGATAATAATGGTATTTATTTCTTGGGTTGAGGAGGGGTTAACATAAAGTTCTTAGTACTGCACCTAATAAAGCTCTTAAGCACAGCGCTTACTTCAATATATATTATTAATTATTTTGACAAATATTTCAGTGTGTCTGTGGAAATCACCTGAGTTTGTCTAGTGTTCAAAGAACAATTCAAGAAGAAATATTTTTTTTTAAAGATTTTTATTTATTTGTCAGGGAAAGGGAAAGGGCGATAGCTTGAGCACAAGCAGGGGGAGCAGCAGGCAGAGGCAGAAGCAGGCTCCCAGCTGAGCAAGGAGCCTGACAGGGGAACTCCATCCCAGGACTCTGGGATCACAACCTGAGCCCAAGGCAGATGCTTAACTGATTAAGACACCTAGGGACCCCCAATGATGAAATTATTAAGAGATGAAATAACTGCTTGGGGCTCTGCTCTTTTCACACAAATCATGCTAATTTATAATGACATCACAAGACTGTCACACTTGAATAACTTTGTTGATTTTCATTCTCAGCATTTATTTATTTATTTAAGTAATCTCTATACGAAATGTGGGACTCGAACTCGAGACCCAGAGATCAAGAGTTGTGCGCTCTTCTGACTATGCCAGCGAGTTGCCCACATTTCTAGCACTTAATATCATCCTGAAACTACCTCTTCCTAACTACATTGACTAAATTTTTAGTGTAGTTGGTAACTTTTTTGCTTGAAGAAAACTTAGAAACAGTTTGAAGCCTTCAAGTGCCTGGGACGTGGTTACTCGTTCCCCTTCCCATGTAAGTCAGAAGCAAAGGTAAAAATACTTATTTGAGAATAAAGTATTTTAGTCCCAAACAATACCTTATCAATCTTTAGTTTCAACATATTGGATGGGTTTATGTAATTAGGTGGTAACAAGTTCTTTCCTCCTTTAAAACCAGCAGGGATGCATAAATCTTTACCTCCATTTATCTTCTTTATGTTATTTTATGGCATCATTTTTCTCCCGTATTACCTGGTTCAAAACGTCACTATTTTTTTTTTTTTTTTTTTGAGATTTTATTTGACAGACAGAGATCACAAGTAGGCAGAGAGGCAGGCAGAGAGAGGAGGAAGCAGGCTCCCTGCTAAGCAGAGCCCGATGTGGGGCTTGATCCCAGGACCCTGGGATCATGACCCCAGCCGAAGGCAGAGGCTTTAACCCACTGAGCCAACCAGGCGCCCCCAAAATGTCACTATTGTACCCTCCCTCCAATCTGTCTTCGGTTCGCCTGTGCAATCTGTTCCTAAATATTTGTTCTCTAAACTGCTGCCTTGGCCTCCTACACAGTCAGTTTCGCCATTTCCAGTTCATTTCATATATTTCCATAGTAAGACACCCCTGAGAAATCTTCAACAACTCCTTACCGCCTTCCAAGCAAGGCCTTCCAGGACTCCACCCATCTCCCATCCCGCCTTTCAAAGTGCCTACAGTCCAGCCAATCAGCGCTCCTCTACTTACCTATCTACTGCCTCATTATCCCACCGACTCACCTCCACGGGAGGTTATTCTCTTTATTTGACAAGCCTACCTCCTTTTTGTCAGCTTTCCCATTTTACAGATGAAGAAACTGACACTTAGAGAGGAGGAGCGACCATGACAGTGCCTGTGGTGGGAAATGCACCCAAGTTTTTCAGACTCAGACTCTTTACTCCTAAATACTTAAGTGTATGTCTCTTTAGAACAAGGATATTTTCTTACACAACCACAGTACAAAGATCACACTCAGCAAATTTTGCTTTGATGTAGTACCATGATATATAGGCCACATTTCAAATTTCACCAACTATCCTTTATAGTGAATTTTCCCCATTTCTGAGTCTCATCCAGGATCAAGCCTTGTCTTTATTTCTCATAATTCTTCAATATTCTTTAACCTAGAATAGTTCCTTTGCCTTGTTTTAATTTTAAGACATTGATAGCTCTTATTGATAGCTAGATATTTTACTTTGTTTAACGATTTATTTACTTGTTTGAAAGAGGGCGGGGAGGGGCAAAGGAAGAGAATCTTCAAGCAGATTCTTCTGCTAAGCACAGAGACAGTGGCAGGGCTAAGTCCCAGGACCCATGGGATTATGACCTGAGTGGATACCAAGAGTTTCGACACCCAACCGACTGAGCCACCCAGGTGCCCCAAGGCATTGATAAAGAGTATGGGCTAGTTCTTTGTAAAATTCTCCTCAGTGTGTGTTTTTCTGAGTGTTACCTCATGATTAGATTCAGATTATGGATTTCCAGCACAAATACTACATAGTGAAGTTAAGCTGTGTACGTCTTACTGCATCACATCGCAGCACCCACAATAATGGTTTCATTACTGGCAATATCCAACTTTGATCACTTGGGTATGGTGGAGTCTGGCATCCTGTAAAGTTACTTTCCTCCCTTTGTGATCAATAGCAAGCTGTGGGGACATATTCTAAGATTGTGTAAATAAGCTTCTCCCCATCAAGTGGTTCTCATATTTACTGATGTTTAATGACACAACAATTATCATTAGGCTAGTTGCAAAATGTTGATTTTCCTAACTCTGTTGCTTCTTCTTCCCCTATATTACTTTCTAAGCAGGAAAGAAAAAAAGCTTAAAAAAAGAAGTGGATACTGTTTTAACTGGAGTGTAGTTAGTTCCCATTCCCCTTCAGTGTGCTGGGTCCAGCTTCTCTGACATGGACCTTCACTCCTCGGGCTAGAGAGAGGGCCCTCAGCCTGTGGGTGATGGCCTGGGTCACACAAACTGTGCAACTGGTAGTTCCAGATACTCTAAAACGACACTCCAGTCTCTCTTGCTTGGGAGTAAAATGCTTTTGTATCTCCGTCTCTAACCTACCTTTATGCTTAACTTGTGGATCACCAAAATATTTATTCCAATGTTTCCCAAACTAAATGTGCTTTACAGTCACGTGAAGGCTAGAGAATTGTTTAAAGCATAGATGGCTGGGGTCCGGCCCCCAGAGAATCCGATTTAGCCTGTCTGGATTGAAGCCCAGGAATCGGCAAATCAGCCCTCCAGGTGGCCTGCGGAACAAACTTTGAGAAACACCACCCTCCAAAATAATGAAGGGCAAACCTCCCTTCCTCGAGAAATTGACGCCACTGGCAACTCCCAAGGTGCCAGCTCAGGAAAAGGCGGGTGAAACAAAAGAGGGCGTTCTTCCTTCCTCGCCCCACAGGCCTTCGGAAACCTACATCCGGTTGATACCACTCGGGTGCGGGTCCCGGCTGCTGGGGTGATGGCGGAGAGAGCCCCCGCTAACCGGGTCGGTTAGGCCGGGCCGGCTGGCTGGCGCGCGGTGGGGCGGGGTGGGGGCGGGGTAGGGGCGGGTTCCCCTGGGAGCCCGCGGGCGGCGGCCAGGGAGCCCCACCCCTTTCCCGCACCCCCGCCCCCCCCCCCCCCGGGCCGGGGGCGCGGGCCCCCGGGGGGCGCGCCCGCCCCGGGCCCCCCCCCCCCCCCCCCCCCCCCCCCCCCCCCCCCCCCCCCCCCCCCCCCCCCCCCCCCGCCTTCGCGCGCACTTCCGCGTGCATGGCCCTGCTGTGCTGGGCCCTGAGCCGGAACGCGGGGCCGAGCTGGCGGCGGGTGGCGCGCGCCTTCCCCCGCTTCCCGCTGCCTCAGCCTCGGCCCATCCGCGCCGTCTCCCGCGCCATGGCTTGCAGGCAGGAGCCGCAGCCGCAGCGCCCTCCGCTTGCCGCCGGCGTCGTGGCCTCTTACGACTACCTGGTGATCGGGGGCGGCTCGGGCGGGCTGGCCAGCGCCCGCAGGGCGGCGGAGCTGGGCGCTAGGGCCGCGGTGGTGGAGAGCCACAAGCTGGGCGGAACATGCGTGAGTACGAGGTCCCCGGCGGCGCGTCATGTCGCAGCCGGGCTTTCTCCGCGCTCTGCAGGGGCAGCCTGTCCTCTTTCCTAGCGCCTAGGTCAGTCTGTCCGGGGATGGGTCCCCAGCGCCGTGCTCTCCGCTTTCCCACCCGCTTCTGAGATCAGGGTCCCAGCAGGTTTAGAGGGGACAAGTGTGAAGGGCTTCCCTGCGGCTCCCAAACCCAAGCCGTGGTCTGTGCCAGCTCAGGGACAGTGTTAACCGTAGGTGGTTAAACCTAACAGAACTCCACTGCATCCTCCCTCCTCAAGGTGGAAGAGTATGGCAACCCATCCTTGATCTCATCCCCAGATCTGTGAAACAACTGCCCGTGGAAAAATCGCAGCTGCCGTGGGGTTAGGGGAGTCGGGGAGCGGGATTGGGTACTGATCCTTGAGGAAGACGGATCCTGATCCTCTCCTTTCACTTCCAGGGGCAGAATGATTTGCAGCAGGGGTTCTCCCCTTGACCGCACATTCCAATCACCTGAGGAGCTGGGAAAATTCTGCTGTGGGTTCCACTCCCGCGGCTTCTGATTTCACTCCTCCCAGGAGCAGCCTGGGCTTTGGGAGTTTTTAGAAGCTCCACGGGTGATTGATTGCAGCCAAGGTTGACAACCACTGACTATAGATTACCTTGATGTAGGATTTACTCTTAATTGAATTCTCAGACCTTTTTCTTTTGGTTTTGTCTTTTTTTTGGGGGGGGGGAGGGGGTAGATTTTAGAACCGCTTCCAAAAAAGTGGGTCGTAAAATCTTATGACTGAGAAGCTTTATCATTAAAAAATTGTTTCCATGTTACTGGTGTGGCCTTTCTGTCACAAGATTTGGGTGAAATAGTTGCAATTAATGTTAAAATTTTGTATCCAAGAGTAACCTGGGATTGGGAAGTGTTCTCCACAGTGTTCTGGAGATTGATATTTAAATTGTGCCAGATTGGGAACTCCTTAAGGGCAGGGATGGGTTCATGTATTTTGCACCTCTTATCACCTTAACAAAACATCTTGCTCAATAACCTTATGCGTAATGAATCAAACTCAAAATTGACAGCTTGTGAAAGGGCTGACTTCATTGTCCAGTACTCATTTTTTACTTCAAATGAAAATGGGAATGGCAGAAAGGAAAAATCCCTGGTAATGATCAACTTGCTCCTTGACATCTTAGCGTAGACTCCATTAGTCTGTCTCAGTGGAAAGCAGATTGAGGGGTGCCACTAGGAGGCCCCTGGACAGCTGGTGAGAACTCTTGATGATTTCTCATCTTTGTACCTCTTTTCTTTTTTAAGATTTTGTTTTAAGTCACCTCTACACCCAGCATGGGGCTCACATTCTCAACCCAGAGATCAAGAGTCTAACACTTTACTGACTAAGCCAGCCAGGTACCCCTGTACCTCTTTACTTTTCTCAGTTTTCCTTCTTCCGTGTTATGTCACATGGTTGTGACATCCATCATCCTTGCTTGGTCCCACTGATATTACTCAAGAAGGGGCTGGCCTCATTTTTAGGTTCTTCTTAGGAATGTGAATACACTAAGAGGTAAATTACATCTGAGACCCAGCAAAGAATAGTTCTGGTCAGCCATTTACAGCTTCCTTATAAAATGCCTGGCCTTGCCTGTACCATTCTGCTACAGCAACTTTTTTTTTCCTGTAAACGTTGGGAAATCCCCTATTTCACACTTGCATCACATTCCATTTGGGTTCTTCTCAAACTGGCTTTTGGTTTTGAATTACAAGGAAGGGTGTGGGTATCTGTTAATATCAGAGAATATGTAACAGTCGATAAGATGGGAGTTTGAATTTAAGAATTCCAGATATCTAGGCTAGCCATAGTTGCAGTAATAAATTTCTGATGTCCAGTGATTTCCAAGCAGGTGCAGGGAGAAGGGAGGCCCTCTGAAGCACATCATTTCATTTGTTCATGTCTTCATTTCGTGTATTCTAAATGCCAGGTACTTGGATTGAGGTAGGCAGAGAGAAAAGGGTAGATACAAATATTTATAAGGCAAATGTCCCTTCCCACAGGGAATTTGCAATACAGTAGGGAAGGAAAATGTAGACCTTAACTCCAAAGTGAGGTGGTCTGTGTTAATTGCTGCTGATAGTGAAAAATTACAGTAGCTAAGAAGAGAGTTGGAATCATCACTTCTGCCTGGGCACCGCGGGACAGATGGTTTCTTGAAGGAGAGAGTATCTTTCTGAACCTGAACAGGATTAGTACCATTTTTTGATAGGGTCAGAGGCAAAGGCAGAGGGGCAGGTTATATTGTGTAATTGAATTTAGAACAGAGGGTGTCTCTAATAGAAGTAAAATATGGGAAGCTGATGGGTAGGTTGTGGTTAAAAAAAAAAGTTTCTGGGGGCTCTTGTCTGGCTCAGTCCGTAGAGCATGTGACTCTTAATCTTGGGGTAGTGAGTTCAAGCCCCACATTGGGTGTAGAGCTTACTTAAAAAGAATAAGTGAACTGTGTGAAAGGTTTTTGCATAGGGGAGTGACTGCATAAAAGTGGCTTTATGGTAGTGGTACTAGTGAAAAAAATCCCTTGGGACAAATAGAAATTTCTTTAACATTGGTTCGTTAAGGGGTGCCTGGGTGGCTCAGTGGGTTAAGCCTCTGCCTTTGGCTCAGGTCATGGTCTCAGGGTCCTGGGATGGAAACGCCCCCCGCCCCCCAATCAGGCTTTCTGCTCAGGGGGGAGCCTGCTTCCCTTCCTCTCTCTCTGCCTGCCTCTCTGCCTACTTGTGATCTCTGTCAAATAAATAAAGTCTTTAAAAAAAAATTGATTCGTTAAGCATTTTTTTCCTAAATATTTTGATTCTGGAGTGTGGTGAATTTTTAAAGTTGCTGTGGTTAAGTTCACACTGAGGATTCAAATTAAAGTCTTCCTGTAGTTAGACGAATTGTGGCTTTTTAAGATTTTTATTTATTTATTAGCGAGAAAGAGTGATCATGAGTTGTGAAGGGGAGAAGCAGACTCTCCTCTGAGCAGGGAGCTTGATGTGGGGCTTGATCCCAGGACCCGTAAGATCATGACCTGAGCCGAAGGCAGCCACTCAACTGACTGAGCCACCAAGGTGCCCCAGTGGGATTGTTTTGTTTTTAATTGTTCTATTTTTGTCTGCTCACTTATTAATTCATATTGCCACCTATACAGGTACTTTTTTGGATGTTGGGGTTACGGCAGCAAACAAAGCAGATAAAAATCTCTGTCTTTGTGGAGCTTACATTGTAGGTGTTATCTGCAGTTTCTAAACTTTCTGTGCAATATTTTTGTAATAATTTTTAAAGAGATTTTATTTATTTATTTGAGAGAGTGAGAGAGAGAGAGAGAGCAAGGGCTAGAGAGAGAGCACACACAGAGGGAGAGAAAGAGAGAAGCAGACTCCCCGATGAGCAGGGAGCCTGATGGGGAGCTCGATCCCAGGACTCCAGGATCATGACCTGAGCCAAAGGCACACACTTAACTGACTGAGCCACCCAGGTGCCCCAATACTTTTAGCTTTATGAAACACTACATGGACCTGGTTATTTTCATTTCATTTAGGATTGGACTCACACAGATCCTTGTAGGAATTTGGGAAGCATTGTTCCGGTTCAGCACCCTTACTTTACTGAGGAGCAGAGTGAATGTCAGCTAAAATGTGGTTGAAAACAAACCAAGCATGCTATGACCTATGGAACTGGCGTCCCAGCCATTGGAAACCAGAGCTTTGATGTATTAGTGCGAAGTAAACTGCGACTTGATGAACCTGTTTAAGCCTTATTCTTTACTACAGAGAAGGAAACTTCTTACCCCTCTTTCTTAGGAACCAGACATTTACTCCAAAAACACTTAGTTAAGGGTCTGTCTACCACACTGGCCTTCACCCTGTAGCTCCTGATTTAGTAGGTATGGTGTGAAGCCAGAGCAGATGTATTTTTAAAGAGCTCCATTCTGATTTTGGTATAACATGAACCAGACACAGTGACAGCGTCTTTATAGGACGAAGGGACAGTATGAAGCATTAGGATGAATCTGGTGAATTAGGCATAACTGCGGGTCAGATGACAGTGAATGTGGTCCTAGAGTTACTAATTTCTTGGTTTCATAATTTTATGCTTCTGAGGCAGCTAGTAGAGAATGCCTTCCAAGGTTGTCTACACATGTGACTATTCGGCTTGATTTTCTGACTCTTCCTCAATCTTCCTTTTCTAGGAGGTTTTTGGTTTGTTTGTTTTTTTTTAAACTTTCTGTGAGCTGATTGAGTAGGCCCCTTCCAAGAAGGCATGCATTTCCTTCTTTCCTTCCTTCCTTCCTTCGTTTGACACAGAGAGAGAGCACAAGCAGTGGGAGCGGGAGAGGGAGAAGCAGGCTCCCCACTGCAGGGAGCCCGAGGTGGGGTTCAATCCCAGGACCCTGGGATCATGACCTGAGCTGAAGGCAGACATTTAACCATCTGAGCCACCCAGGCGCCCCAAAACGTGCATTTTTAAGATGAATGATGCATGTTGGTGTACAAGAGCCTTTGTTTAAAAAAAAATTTTTTTTTTTTTTTAAATTTTTGACAGAGAGAGAGCACAAGTAGGCAGAGCAGCAGGCAGAGGGAGAGGGAGAAGCAGGTTCTCTGCTGAACAGGGACCCTGATATGGGGCTCGATCCCAGGACCATGGGATCATGGCCTGGGTGAAGGCAGCCGCTTAACCAACTGAGCCACCTAGGTGCTCCATCACCTTTTTTTTTTTTTTCTTTCTTTTAATTTTTTTTGGGGGGATAGAAATTTTTTTTTTTTAAGATTTTATTTATTTGAGACAGAGATCACAAGCAGGCAGAGAGGAGGGGGAAGCAGGCTCCCCACGGAGCAGAGAGCCCGATGCGGGTCTCGACCCCAGGATCCTGGGATCATGACCTGAGCTGAAGGCAGAGGCTTAACCCACTGAGCCACCCAGGCGCCCTGGGATAGAAATTTTTAAGCTGTTAAGTTCAAGTATGAG